CTCCTCTTTCACTCTCTCTCAGCCTTTCTTTCACTCAACCCCCAACTCCAGCTCTCTCTCCCTCATTTTTTCTTAGCCGTCAAAACCCCAAAAACCTCCCTTGCGGTTGCTGTTTTTCTCTTTTTATATGGAACCCAAGGTTCCTAAACCCTCACCCCAATGGTGAGGATGAAAGACTTGCCCTTGCCTTCACATCCAGCCCTCCGATGGGCATCTGTGATTGTCCTTTGCAAGCTGCAAAAATATGCAGCTTGCATGCCGCGGCTCTATTTTTTTTTTTATTTTTAATAATAACTTAACAAAAATATAGATAACTAATTAAGAAAAAAAAACTAACGAAGAAATGCTAATTAAGATAAAAATGAAATGCAAATTTTCCTTTTTTTTCTTTTTTCAAGAAAGCGTTGAATTTGAATAGAAATCAACTAAAGCATACTTTTGAATGTTTTTCTCTTTTTTTTTCCGATTAAATTATAAAATAAATGTTCGTAAAGATACGAAACAGCAATCAACTAAAATAAATCTAAAATTGAAACAAATAAATCTAAAATTAAACTAAATAAATAAATAAAGTTCGAAACCAAAAATTTGGTGTCTACAGACAGCAAACATGCCACAGGCAATCGTGCTCAATTTTCGACCCAACACCCATCCCAATTCGTGCCTTCTCGTGTCCGTAGACGTAGGGGTGATTCGAACCTCAAAGGCAAAGGAGTAGCTTCAAGTTCTGTCATCAACCCAGCAGATTCGAAGGGAACATCGGATGACGATGGAAGCCCAATTATGAGAAATCCCGACAAGCGACCAATGGGTAGTGCTCCTCACAATTTTGAGAATGAAGGCTCAAGAGGAACCAAGTCCTGAAGGTCGGGTTCGGATAACTACCAAGAGGCACTGAGCAACTTCAACAGATTTTTCTCCATAGTTTCTACCGATAGAGCAGCAAAGGAGAAGTATTCAATTGAAGTAAGCAAAAAAGTGGTTCAGGAGCTAAAGTTAAAGAGAACTCTACAAATGTATTTCTTAAAAGAATTATTGGATGAGGAGTTCCGTGCTTTATTTCTTAGCTTCAGTGAGAGTGAGTAGATGACATGGATTGAGTTGTTCATCATGCCAAAGATCGTCGGGAAGTAGGGAACCTCACGGGCCTAACTTTGTGAATTTAAATTTTCTATTTCTGTTATTGCTATGATAAGATAGCTTGTTTCCCCGTTTTTATTGATTATATGTTGTTATATTTAGTGAAATTTTATTGTTAGTTTGACCACTTGATTGTATCAGTGAATGAATTTACCTATTTTCTGATGATTCTTAGCTGTTATGAACATTAAGTTTGGAGTTGGATGTTCATTATATAAGAGATGGCAGATTACTTTTCTATTGTCCCATGTTAGCAGTTTATAAGATGACATTTTTTATTTTGAATGAGCTATTTTGGACACCATAACCTTAATGGATTGTATCCAAGTGCTCATAGTTGGTTATCCAATACTTTCTCGTGGATTTATGCAAAGTATTTGTGAGCACCATAGAATGCTGCTATGTGAGCTTCAGTCGAACTGACTTTGGACTGTTTGCTCCAAAGCTAGTTTTTAACTTGCTGCTTCACTTTGGAGTATATTTAATCAATCAGGGGAAGTTCTGACGAGCAGGCTGAAATTATTTTGGGAGGTGTATTAGGACACCAGGCTTTGTACTTCCCCACAAAATTTCCTTAAACAGGTTGACTTTGGACTGTTTTCCAACACATAAATTTCAAGTCCAATGTGGAAATGGATATTTCAGTGACTTATGCAATGGAAAGAGAGTCACTAAACTTGCAGGTGCTTAGTTTGGAGTCCTCTTTTCCATTTCCTGAGTTTATGTTTTTCTTCACTTGATTCTTATCTATAATGCCCTTCCCAATTAGAGTGAGTACCAAGGATGATCATATTTTGTGCACTTTTAATCAATTGTAACCTGATCACAACCTCTAATGACCACGTAAAAGCTGATATGATTGATTTGCTCAATTTGATTTCTATGATTTAGCAAAGGAAAATAAATTGCTTAAGGAGAAATTAAGAAAAGTGCCAAAGGCTGAGTGTTTTACTTCATGCAGCAACATAGATCATCAAGGAAGAAAAGTTTGGTGTCCTACTACACCTCCTACTACATCTCTAACAAAAAACTATGACCTTGGGTACTTGAGTACTTTTGTAAATGTCAGACCTGTCCAGTTGAAGTGCATCTAGTGAGATTGGCATACGTTTGTTTTTCATTCGAAAATTGGATGATTTATCTCATGCATTGTATATGCAATAATAGAGAGCATCTTGTCTCAATTCACCGACAGTGGCCAGAGACCCACTAACATGCCTCAAATGCGCTTTTTGCGTAAGGAAATAACTAGAGCAAATAAACAGGAGCCATCAAGGAAGGCACATGAATGAACAGATTGATTAGGCATCTCTTTCTCTGTTCAACATACTACACTCCAACAACTTTACAGTGGATGACAAAAGCTATACAGGCCTCCATCATATCCATGTCTATGAATCTGCCTACTATTTATATAACATAGCATCAAAACTAATTCACGCCACCTTTAGCTCTCTATACACTAAAACGTTAGGATTTCTTGTTTCTTACTTGCCTCAAAAGAAGTGCATCATCGGTCCTCCACCTTTACTTTCCCGTAAGAAATTGACACTTAACCTTTAGTCTTCCCGAGCAATTAAATGACTACTGTGGTAACATCTATTTAAGGCCTTGTCTTGTATTAACGCTCCCCCTCCTATTGTCCTCATTAGTTTTTCTTTCAGTCATAGCAATGAGGTGAAGTCCTGAGATTTTTAGATTTCAACTTGCCATTTAATTAACAACTACCTTTTTTCATCCATTGCAGGCTTATGGCTATTTTCCATACATGGCCAACTTTAATCCGTACTTCGATTCCTCCTCTTCCCGCTCACGCTCTGAAGAAGATAAAGAGGTAATTCTCAACAACAGCTATGCTACTTTTTTCACCAGAAGCGAAACTTACGATGGGTCTCTTATCAAAATACTTTGCCGCAATTCTGACATGCCTGGTTGGAAGTGAGTTCAAGAGCTAATAACAGGACACACACTACGTATTTTAGAGAATTGTCGAATCACTGTTGACAATTTTATGTGATTTTATGATGTTCTAGTAGGCAATAACTACGTCCCTCAAAATTCACACAAGTATGTGTCAATCGAGAAAGCACTAGCCATGACTTTAGTTATGTTAAGTCATAGCACGCGAACTCGAGTAGTAGCTGAAAGATTCCAACATTCAACCGAAACCATCCGTAGAAATGTAGCGGAAGTGCTGTTGGGGTTATGTCGATTTGCATAAAGAATTACTCGCCCAAACAAAGTGAGGAAGTGCATCCAAAAATAAGATATAGCACTAAGTATTATCTTTGGTTCAAGGTAAAACATGTTTACCTTGTTTTTTTTCAATATTTTTATTTTTGGATGGAATATTGGATAACATATAGTGAAATTTAATATATTTGGCCAAAATTTGAGATCAATTTGTGGATACCCCGAATTTCTCCATGACATAGAAATTGGGGTAAAGCTATGACTATACATAAATCATTCTTCGGTCCTCTTTTTTGCAATCACACATCAAATGCTATTGAAAAAAGCATCTTCTTAATAGTGTGCCAACCTGTTTTTGTCTAAATTAATACTATGGTCCTTTGAGAAGTATTTTTATAACTGACTTTTATGCATATGTTAAATAAATGCAAGACTATTTAGGTGCTTTGGACGGTACACATATCCCAGCTACAGTTCCGGCAGTTGAGTAGATGGCCTACATAAATAGGCATGGGACTCAAAACCAAAACGTATTAACTGTATGTAACCATGATATGCAGTTCATTTATGTTTATACCGGATGGGAAAGTAGCGCACACGATGCATGGGTGCTAGAAAGTGCAATGAGAATGCACACCGATTTCCCATTTCCCCCCCCCAAGGTTGTTAAATTTGGCTATTATTTATACGCCCTCGAAATTCCACATATATATTCAAATTATGAATACTAGGTTGATATACAATTTTTTCCCCCATAAATGAATTTCTCTGGTGTCCTAAACTTCTTTTCTTGGATGTAGGCAAGTTCTACCTTGTTGATGCGGCTTATAAGATGATGCCAAGTTTTTTAGCACCGTTCAAGGGAGGATGTAACGTAAGAGTTGGACAAAGATGTGGTCGAGGCCAAGGGCCTACAGATGTATTAGACGAAGTGAGGCTGCAACCAAAAAATTGGGTGAGGGGTACGGTGGAAATAAGCTATTGAATGTATGCTATTTTTAACTCTTTGTAATCAAATGGTGGCTCTTAGTATAATTACTATGTAAGTCTTCGTATAGTAGGAGAAGCTCCTATTTGAAATAAATTGTGCTCCTCCTCTTGTTTCCGATGACTTGGATTGTCTGAATTTAAATTGGTATGTGCATATAAATTTCACATTTCCGGGGCAATCATATAGAGTGTTGAGCATGCATATCAAGAGAACTTGATTATTGCCCAGTATTCCCACGTTGGTGCTTAGTACTAGTAAAGGACTAGTGGACCCATAAACCATTCGAGGCATACAGCCTTAAAGTGTGCTAAACTGTTACTCACAACTTTTTGCACCTAAAAAGTAGTTGAAAGTTTGAATGGCCACATGCATCTGATTTGGCTCCTTCAACTGTCAACTTCTGTCCTCATCGGCAAACTTCTATTACACCCACGGTAAATAGGATTATTTGAGGATCCAAACATTATTTTTGTTATGTCTATTAATTTGAGGGAAAGCCCAATATTATTACAAACAGTACCTATCCAAACAAGGCCAATATTCCAAAATTTTGATATCCAAACACTACCCGGGTTTTATGAGAAAAAGTTGAACGACTAATAAGGTTTTTATAAATGAGTTGAGGGACTATTCCAGTAATTTACTTAAATCCATTATTCGTTCTTTTCTCTCTGTCGTTTCCAACCACCAGTGATTTGGCAACTGAAACTCTCAAATTCGATTCCCAGAAGCAAAATTGAAGCCCAAGTTCACAGCTTCAGGAGCTCTTGATTCTCAATCCCCCATTGCAAAACCCAAATGGGTCGTTCTCGTGCTGTTCCTCACTCCGCCGATGAAGATCTCAGCCAAAGGTAAATTTTCTTTTTCAAATTTTGAGCCCAAGAAGAAATAAAGGGGTGAACTTTATGTAAACCCTATCCTAAAATTCTGTGTTTGTACAACTCTGTATTACTTTTTTTTTTTTGTCAAAATTGGGGAAAAAGATTGCAGCATCTTTGAGGATTAAAGATGGAATGAAGTTTTTCGGTAAAATTCCTCTTTCCTTTTCTTTGTCGTACTGAGAAAACTTTCAAATGCAGAAAAAAGTGTCAAAAATACGGAACCAAATTAGTATTTTTGGAAGAATTAGCCTATAGTAGTTATTCTTTTCACCATTGTTTAAGCATTCCCAGTTATTTACTTAGGTTTAGTAAAAAGTGAGGGTTCTTTTTTAAGCATTGCTTACCTGTTATTCTTTTAAAACTTTTATTGGGCATTTTTTGACATCCCTTTTTTTTTCCTTTTCTTTTTGGCCCTGCTGCTATACTCTTCAGTAGGTCAAAGAGGAAAAGGACTGCTTCGAATGTGGAAAATTCGGAAATTGCTACTGCAGGTATTGATCATTTATTGACATGTATCGGTTCTGCTTCTACTTGTGTAGTTATTGATTTTGAAAGCATAAACGAGATGAGCCCCAATTTATATTTGTTTTTTCATGTTTATATTAGTTTTCATATTGTCTTAAAAGGTTGGGATACTGAAAGTCTTAAACCACAGGATGTACTTGACTTTGTTTCTATTATACACATTGATTTGGCTTGTGTGCTTACACAGGCATACTCAGTTTTTAACTGATGACAATCCTTTGTTTCGTTTATAATTCCCCTCCATTTCTCTGTAAGAATCACTTTTATAACTTGAAAACATGGTAATGGTCATATTGGAGCAAATGCATTTTTTTTCCTTATCAGATTTGTATAACTAATTTTCTTCTTGTGTTCCCTGTTTGAGAAGAAAATAAAAAAAGAATGCCATGCGCAAAACTTATGCAGAATAAAAATGTATTTTTTTAAAAAACAAATAGAATGGACTACTATACTCATGTTCTAAGTGTATATTGCCTTCCATCTCAAAAAGGGAAAAAGCTCCTGCTGAAAGGGATTAACATTGTATTAGGAAGTTAAAAGCAAATGTTTGTTCATTCTTACAATTTATCAACTATCTTGCTATTTTAAAACATCCACGACTGTAGAACTGGTTCTCCACAGAATAACATGTTAGTTGGACCTACCAGCTATTGTAATAACTGTTTGATGTGGCAAGGATTACCAAAATAGTCTTGTTATGCTATATTTTTTTACTCTTGCACAATGTTTTATGAAGACTTGCTGATATTTTTATCTCTTAAAACACTTGGGAAATGTGGAAGGGAAGGCATATCTGTTTGTGTAATTGATGTTCTTTCACACAGTCGATCTGCTTGGCCTCCTGTGTTGCTTTAGCCTACATGAGGAGAATTTATTAAGGTTCACAATGGGCTTATGATATGGATATCGCCAAAGGACTGAAAATAAAATTGTAGCCCGATAATGTTGCCATGGTAAATTCAGTTGAAGGCATGTTTATATCTTTTTATCTATCAAAATTTTGATGCATGCTCCCAAAATGTTCTCTCTAATTTGAGCATGACTGTTTTCTTACTTTGAAGGTCAAGGGAAGGCTGAAGGGAAGGCATTATACCACTGTAATTATTGCAGTAAAGATATATCAGGAAAAATACGCATTAAATGTGCAATATGTTCTAATTTTGACCTGTGTGTGGAGTGCTTTTCGGTTGGGGCTGAGGTCCATCCACACAAGAGCAATCATCCCTACAGAGTCATGGTCAGTACTAACTTAATGTGTATATGTTTGTGTACCATAATAAATTTACATGAACCAATACACTGGTTTTATATGTGCGCGTAGACAGATGACACAGTCAATTTTGCATCGCCGTCTCTGCAATTGTTGTGTAAAAGCCACAACATTGTTCACAAGTACCTTGAATTTTTGTCTTCTTTATACAAATAGTTTTTTGAACCTAGTATTCTGAATTTGACTTCCCTAGAACTACAGACAAGTATATTTGGAAGTGCAATAATTTCTTTGTGGATAAAGGAAAGAGATTTAGTAACTGATTAAAGGATTAGAATTAACCATTGAGAAAGGACAAGTGCAAGAAGCAGGTTTCTTTCCCTCTGGATTACGGGTCAAGATAATAGGCACAGTGGTTGTTAAATTCATTTAGAAAAGAGGAATAACCTTCATCAGACCTACGTCCAAGGCTGAACGGGATTGCAAAAGTTGTGAATGTATCTCTTTTAAAATCATCCAGATGACTGGGGAACCCAAGCACAGTCTTTTAGGCCTTTTCAGCTTCCTTGTCTCTCTTTCCTAATCCAATTCATTTTTAATCCTAATTTTGGGACATTTTGGTGAGATTGAAAAGTTTGAAAGGCAGAGTCTTATATGTACAGGAACTATAACCAATTTGTCTGAAATCTTTTGTATCGTGTTTGGTTTTGTGTAGAGGTTCTAGATAATGTATGGCTCCAATACTGCTGGTGATTAACATGACAGTTGGTGTGTGAATCCAGCTCAAGTTTGTATAACAGATATCCCATAGTACTTAAAACTACAGTTGTTTCCCTACTTTATTTGCAGACCAGCTGTTTTGTGACCTCCGCTCATCTAGATTAATGTAAGTTCAAAATCTTTTGAGCTGCCAGTAGTCATTCTTTTCACTTTGAGCTCTCTACCTGCAGGATAATCTTTCCTTTCCCCTAATATGTCCTGAATGGAATGCAGATGAGGAGATACTTCTTCTGGAGGTACTTCTGTACGTTAGTAATCTGCAATTTCTCATATTGATATTTTGAAGATGACAGTATGTAATTCTCATTTATTGATTTGTCCTTTTTCTTTCAAGGGAACTGAAATGTATGGACTGGGAAATTGGACTGAAGTTGCAGAACATGTTGGAACAAAAAGCAAGTTGCAGTGCATTGATCATTATAATGTTATATACATGAATTCTCCATGCTTTCCTCTTCCGGTATGGTATTGTGATTTTGTTTTATCTCTACTCATTAGAGGCTCATATGATGTGTAATGTTCATTCAGCAAAATTTTCATTAGACATATTAAGCATCAATTAATGCATTCTGAAATATTCTAGGACATGTCTCATGTTATGGGAAAGAATAGAGAGGAACTCCTTGCTATGGCCAGAGAGCATGGCGAAATAAAAAAGGGTTAGTTTCTCTTGCTCTACCTCTCATTTAAAATCCCCCTGCGGGCCCCAAATAAAAAAGGAACTCCATCTTTTTTAATTGTTTGCCTTGTGATTCTTAGTTAATCTTGCTTCAACGTACAAGAGGTGGAATGCTTTGGGCTCATTTTCTCCTTTTATTCCTCGAGGACTTGAAGCTTATATAACTCCCAGCCTCCTCTCAATATTCCTTCTACGGCAGTAGGATCTTTGGAAGCAAACTTTTGAAGCCATAGCTTTGGTTTCGCATTTCCACCTCTGCCCCAAGCTTTGATATGCTTTCTTTTCATTGAAGGAAAAACTTTTCGCCCCCTACGTTCGCTGGGTGGACCAATGTGGTCCAAAAAGTTCTAGAGAAAACCCATTTAGTCCCCCAACTTTCAGTCTTCACCCAATTTGAGACAATTAATGATAAATCAGCCAATTTGGATGGAAAATGATCACATGATGAGCACGGGCTGTTACTGCAAATACCTGGGGGTGAGAAAAATATCTCATAAAGCAAAGTCAACCTGTGCTTCCCATGTGCCCTAAGTGGAGTTCCAGGCAACCCTACTCCCATTTACATTAAGAAAATAAATTCTAACTGAAATTAATTTCTTAGATATTGAGTACACTTCAACATATTAAAAAGTCAGAACGCACTTGATCTCCTGGGAATTGAGTCCTTAACCACTTAAAAATAACATTGAAATGAATTTCCTGGAAATTGATTCAGTTCAACATTTAAAAGCAAAAAATCTAAATGTACTTGATATGCAGGATTTCTAGTTTAGTTCAACATTTTATAAAGAAATTCTAAGTGAACTAGAGTACAATTTTTTGTAAATGTTTAAGTGAACTCAAGTAGAGTTTTTTTTTTTTTTTTTTAAATTTAAAATGTTGATCTGAACTCAAACTCTTAAGAATCAGTACAATTAGAATTTTGTTTTTTTCAAATGCTGGGCGGAACTTGATTTCCAAGAAATCGAGTTTACTTAATGTTCAATTGGACCTTTTTCCTCAAAATTGAGTTGGATTTTATTTTTTTTCCAGATTTTTAAGTGGACTTGATATTCTAAAATCACATGTATTTTGATTTTTCTTTTAAAATGTGTATGTTAACTTGATATTTCGGAAACTCATTGAACTTAGAATTTATTTATTTTTTAATTCTAAGTAAACTCAATTGCCTAGAACTCAACTAAAGGCTATTGGGAAAAGGGCAACTTTATTTTTCTTCTGATTAATTCCCCCCACCTCCGGGGAATTTGAAGTCACCGGCCATGCACATCATATGATCATTTTCTGTCCAAATTGATTAATTTTTAATTGTCCTAAATTGGTCAAAAATTGAAACTTCAGGGACTAAACGTGTTTGCTCTGAAACTGATAGGACCAAACCCATGCATCCCCAAAACACTGGGTTCTAAAAGTGCATTTTACCCTTGGCATTGAATGTGTCTTTTAAGTCTTTAGAGAAATAAAACTCAACTTGAGAAAATTCTCTTTATGATCATTTCTGTTAAGAAATTCATTTTCAAGTTTCAGCCTAATTTATCCTATAATGTATATACTCAGACACCAATTAATTCTGAAATTTAAGTGATGTTCAATCTTTTGATGTATATTTTGTATGCTTGAGTTCAATGGTTGATTTTATAAAAGCTAGTCCTAGATTTGAGTTTGTTAATTAATTATGAAATAAAATCTCGAGAAATTTTGTGTTGAGAAACAGCAACGCCTTGGAAATGTTTCATTTTTAATGCCTTGCTCAAATCCTTTCACTTTTTCTTTTTTGAGGTTGGTATACTGATGTAGATGGTTAACTGTTTCTTTAAATTTGCCTGTTGCTAAAAGTAGATGTCAATCTGGTATATGTGCAGCTAGTCACATTGTCGCTTAGCCTCATTTTGATTAGTGTGTTTTCCTTACACCTGCCTCCCCAAAGTTGAAGTCCATGGTTCACCTGGATGTTGTGGACTTGCTGAACTTGGTTGATGGTGTTAATTGCCAAAGAAAACAGGAAATAAGGAAGAAAAACTTTTTGCCTGTTTATTTCATTGCCATCTGGCTAACTATGATATCTCTTGCACACATTGATTGCTGTAAAGATATTGCTAATTTTTGATGTCTCAGGATCCTCTGCTCCTGGAGAAATTAAAGAGGAGTTCCCATTCTCAGCAAAAATCAAGTATCTTTCTGCTTCTTGCTCCTATACCTTTTCAAAGTAGCACTTTTGATCTCCTTTATCTTATCTTTTGATCTTTTTGTCAGGGTGGAAGATCAGAAAAAAGATGGTCAAGCAGGACATTCATCATCTAGTTTAACCTCAGGTTTTTTTATACAATATGCTGAAATGTAACTGGTAGCTAGTTTTACTATATATATTGTCCCCTCAACACCCCGAAAGATGTAAAAATGCACTGGTGGGATATATGGGACTGCCCCTTGATGTCTTGGTATATCAAAGGTGGGTGCGGGCTCATGTTTAAGCATGGTAATGGATGTTTAGGAGGAGCTAAGAGGGTTCCAGTGTCTCAGAGAAAAAGTATGGCTGTGATTGCAGCAAGGCGGAAAGTGTGAAAAGTGTTCATGGCCATCATTTTAAAAGAACTAGCAATTTGAGCTCCTTTTTTCTCAACTCCTTTGGTGCTTGATTAGTCTAGTAGCCTTTCCTCCTCCTTTGTGTCTATGAGCACTAATTCCACTCATATATGTAGCTATATGTTTGTCTTTTTGGCCTGTCTCCTCCATTAGGTAGTTGATTTTCTGTTAGATGATGCCATAAGTTGATCTAATTTTCAGTAGTAGTGGCACAACTTTGGTGGTTGACAGATGGTACGTTTATGAGAATCTAATATTGGAGTACTGTTTCGGTGAAAGCACTGTTTTGTGGATTCATTTTATATTACAGTTAATTTCCCATGTGAAGACAGGAGATTGATATTGGTAGCAGTGTTAAGTTTTTCACCCTTGTGTACCTTTTCTGCATTTTTTTTTTTGAATCATATTAGATCTTGGGGAAAATGGTGTAGATGGTTAGGAATCCCATCTGGATGAAACTATGTCAGTTTTTAGATAGCCTTCAAGCAACTCTATTGTGGTTATTACGATTTAATTCTGTTATCTAATTGGAATGAAATCTATGAAAAGTGTTTTCTTTGGGTGATACATGCCCCCCCCCCCTCTTCTCTCTTTTCCCGAGTATTCTGCTTTTGACACAATAAACCTTATGGACTTTCGTACTACATTTCCAGATTCTCTTGTAGACAGGAGTATTGGAGAGAAAAAGCCTAGAACATCAGGAGATGAGGGACCTTCTGTGACAGAAGTTAGTGGCTACAATTCAAAGAGGCAAGAGTTTGAAGTTGAGTACGACAATGATGCTGAGCAGTTATTGGCTGACATGGAATTCAAGGATACTGATACGGATGCTGAACGAGAACTAAAATTGAGAGTGTTGCGCATCTATTCCAAAAGGTACTTTGGGTTACTTCATCATCTCTCTCTCTCTCTCTCTGTATCTCTTTCTCTTCACACACACACTTCCCCCACCAAACTTTGTCATACCTGGTTCCACTTTATTATGGTAGAGGATTTGGTGCTTTATTAAAAATCTTCTGCTTTTGTTGACCTTCAGGATTCTGGAGCATGAATGTTGCAACTTAATAATATAGGTAGACAAGTTAAGAATCTTGTGTTAACTACATCCTAAACAAAGAGTGCTGCACTCAATAATTACTTTCTTGCTTAAATGAGAGAATTTTCTATAGTTTGGGCCACAGACAGTGAATTAAACTGTAAATTGAACTTTTGGACTCTAGCTTCGACCTGCTATAACATGAGAAGAGCAGATGCTGAAGCAATGGTCATAGTAACTGTATTTGAGAGCAGAATTTGTCTAGTGTGTACTTGGGTTTGATTTTATTTGTTTATTGATGGAGCTGTTTTAATGTTTTAAACAAGAATGGGATAGCTCTGTGGATTTCTTCTACGAATTTCATTGGTCTTTGTGATATGAGGAGGTAGCTTGCCAGTTGGGTCTCCAACTTTAGGGGACGTGTGGTGTAAAAGTTCTTCAGCTAATGTTGGTTTGAGAAAACCTGCAAAGCAAACTTCTTTTATATGAACTTAAGCTTAAGAAAATTAGTTTGACATACTTAAATTTGGGGTAGAATTGGGTTTAACATTACACTGTAGGAGCAGATACCAGATGCTTTTAATTTAGATGCAAATTGTGCCAAACCAGGTGAGCAAGTATTTTTGCATGCAGTCAATATACTAATATACATTAGTGTCAATTGTCATATCTAGATCACTCTCTATTATTATTCATCTTACATATTTGTCAAACTTTTTGTGAGTTCTGTAGGCTTGATGAAAGGAAGCGCAGGAAGGATTTCATATTGGAAAGAAATTTACTTTATGCAGATACTGTTGAAAAAGAACTCTCACACGAAGAGAAGGATATATGCCACCGTTACAGGGTGTTCATGAGATTTCATTCAAAGGAAGACCATGAGGAATTGCTTAGGAGCCTTGTTGAGGAGCACCGTGTTTTAAAAAGAATACAAGATCTTCAGGTTTGACAGAATATTGCATGTCTCAGTGTTAAGCTTTGTTCTTGCTCTGCGGGAATAAAAAAGTTTTGTTCTTGCTCTTGTTGTCATTACTTTTATTATCTGGTTATTAACTTGTAGACGTGCTTCATCAAAAAAAAAAAAAAAGCTTTTGGATGTGCTACTAGGTGCTGAAAATGCTGTACCGTTGGTAGCTCAAAACCATTTTGGAATACATAGAATTTCATGATAGGTTTTAAGATACCATTTTCTTTGATAATCCTAGAACTTGCATGTTCTTCTTAACCTAGGAATTGTGGTCGCTGGATGAAAAACCATACTGAACTAGGTATTCAAAGATGCTTTTGTTGATTGGATAAGTTATGCTTATTCTAATTGGTTGATCTCTTGGGCAAAAAATTGATACAGTACATGGTTTAAATCTAGTTATTAGTAGCCAGTATTTCTCACCACTCCAACGAGGGGCTTCTCTTGCTTTTGTGCAACAAGTAAGCCTAGCTTCTTTGGTGTCTGTGGCACATGAATCAGCAGCTATCGTGATCTTTCATTCTTGATTGCTTAGCATTGAAGTTCTGAACAGTTAATTACCTTCTGGATTAAACATCAACAATCACTTCTCAGATTGTGCACCCCTACAAACTAGGACATTGACTTTTCCCTACCATTCATGAGTCCAAAAGCAGGAAATAAGTGGGAAACAAAGTTGTGATTTGCCATATACATGGGTTGATTTTAGAATGTCAATTGCTTGAGCTCATAACAAACAACGGGAGCTTCGGATTTGGAAGACTCTGCTTAGAACCTCTAGCTCATTTTGCTTAAAAAAGTGTGAGAGGTAGGACATAAACAGAAAATAGAGGGTGGTGTTGCTTCAATGTCGTATACCCTATACAAAGGTAAAAAGTAGAAATTGACCATATAATTATATTCACTAATTATGGAAAGGGAATCTTGCTTTTTTCTAAATGTGAACCTTTCCTGCAAGACTTTGTCTAGAACCTCCAAACTCAGTCACGTGAGTTGATGAGAAATAATACAAGAGAAAGGGTTGTGGTGCATAAAAGCCTATGCCCCTTTATTTTGACATGGCCTTCAAAGTGGGACTAACATCTACTTTACTGCTTGTGTAAGGGGCTCATTGATCTTTAGCTTTGTGCCGGTGAAACTGAGTGGAGAAGAGAATCTTATGAAAATGAAAAATTACTGGAGGATTGTTGCATCACATTGTAATAGAGTCATTTTGAAATACCATGCAACGAAAAATATAGCATATTCGTAGCTTTAGGAATGCTGTAGACCTTCAAGTGTGGTCCTTGCACCATATGAAGTTTCATGGTATAGCACTCCTGTGTAACTTGGGTTGGTAGTATAGGATACTTCGCTGAAGTTTTTGCTGGCTGAAAAGCGTGTGCAGATCTATTGGGATATGTTATTTATTACTCAAGTACTTGGGTTCACATCCTAAAATGTTGCAAGTTTTAAGAACCAAAGTTTCATAGGCTTCTGATCTTGTTTCGCTGTTTCCTTTGGTAGCTTTCTCTCTCTCTCTCGCTCTGTTTTTTGGGGGGAAGCGATGGGGTGGTATTGAGCATTGCAAACTTTGCTGATATACTATGGTTATGACTTGAATCTGTTGATCTTAAAATCTACCCCTGATCCTCCCCAAAAAAGAAAAAGAAGTATGCAGAACAAGAAGTTAACTTACAGCTTTTAAAACCATTAACCCTGCTTTTGTGTTTCAATTGGTAGAACTAACTAGTGTCCGAATAAAGAGGTTTGTGCAAACAAACCTTTTCCAGGATGTGCTTTAGTGTTATTTTTAATGAAAAAAGTATTGAAACTTGAGAATGGCTAGTTAATGATTTGCTATTTCGTAAAATGATAATATATATAATTAAAATACTTGACCTGATGTCTGACGCCTAGAAGTGCTCTTCATTGCTAGGTATTTTACAAAGGTTGTGTGGTCCTTGTTTTCAAAATTGATGCCAAGAAAAATTTTGTTTTCCTATATGAATATCTGTTACTAGCTGGTGATCAGGTTTTTTGTTGGCATATGATTTGGTTTTCTTATGTCTTTGTAATTGCTCATGATAACTTGTTTGCGGAGAGGAAAAAAAATTCCTTTGAATGAAAGGAAAATTTCATTGAGATAAACTTCTTATACTTGATAAGCTGTGCTAATGCAGGAAGCAAGGGCTGCTGGCTGCCGTACATCTGCAGAAGCGGAAAGATATATTGAACAAAAAAGGGGGGAAGCAGAAGAAAATGCTCTTAGAATTAGTGAAAGTTCCCAGGCTGGTCCTTGTGGAAAATTTCTTCAAAGGGCAAATCACCTCAAAGGGGATTTTGACAGTAGCCCAAGAGGTGTTATCAGAGGCCCTACAGTTTTAGATTCTGCAGGAATAGAATCTCCAACAGCTAAAAGGCGACTAGATGTTATAAATGCCTTAGATAATTGGGATGTCACTGGATTTTTGGGGGCTGATTTACTGTCTGAATCTGTAAGAATGCTGCATACAATTTTTCTTTACTACTTGAAACTCCTATCACTTTTGCTGAATCTTAATGAGTCTGCAACTTGTATATTTAGATAAGTGTGTCGGTTCTTAATTGTCTGGTCATGATAAATAGAAATAATCAGTGTCATTAGTCATAACATGCATGGGGTATTAATTGCTCAAGAAGAATCTAATATGCTTCCAATTTATTAGGAAGAAGCTATAGTCAGACACTTCTTCATACAAAGGGAAGAGAGAAACTAGAGGCCTTGTTGGGAAGGGGAATGAGCGAGCGTTGCTTTAGTCATATTGTTAGTTGGATGTCATCAGCTGGATTCACATATAATGACTTATCTATGCAGGAGAAACAGCTATGTGGTGAGATCAGGATCCTTCCAGCGCATTACCTTAACATGCTGCAGACCATGTCAATGGGGATTTTGAGCGGCAACATAACGAAGAAGTCTGATGCTCATGGGCTATTCAATGTTGATCCAAGCAAGGTAGATAAAGTTTATGATATGCTAGCGAGGAAAGGGATTGCCCAAACATGATTGTATCTTGTGTAGTCTTGAGCGGGATACCAAACGAAAAGTGTTGCCTTGTGGTCCTGTATTTGACAAAGTACATCATGTCAGATGTTGTAATCTAGTTACCTTTAACCATTGCTAAACAACTGTTAACAGTTTTTAGTGGCCAGTGATTAGGAATACATGTGTAATTGAAGTACCTATTGTAATAGTTTTAAGGGTTGTAATCACATTTTGTTTCCAATTTTGTGGAAAGATGGAGTTGGATGGTAAATGGAAATTACTCAAAATTGAATATGGATGGTTTGTGCCAATAATCAATAAAATAAAATGTATGGCGAGTTCATGGTGATTACCCATACACAAGTTTAATTGTAAATGTCATCAATATGTCTATATATATATATATATATATATATATATATATATATATATATATATGTATATATATATCTTCCAAACAAGCCTTACAACATTAACCCCTCAACAGATGCAATAACTCGATCATTCCAAAAGTAAGCTTGTACCCTGTTTGGATGAGACAAGTTTCTTTTCAATAATGACATTCGCTTGCCTAATTTGTCATGCATCCAAACAAGCCTTATAATAATAACCTCTGAAAAAACAAATGCAAATTTCCAATCATACTAAAAATAAGCTTGCATATTACTACATTGCGGCAGAATAAAACCCAAAAAATTAGTAGATGATGCAATACTTGTGAAACATCAATATGGAAATAGCAATATCATAATATCAATCAATCCCTTGGGACATTGATAGGAAATAAAATATTCAAACCAGGCATGATAAACACTTTTAACCACAACCCATCAGAACATATTCATCCTTTCATATATCGTTTCTTTGCTTCCCCCAAAAACCAATACTTCCACCATCAACTAACAACACTGCATTTAACAAAATGGACCACTTTCATTTACATACTTGCCAACAAAGTCTCGATTCCAAGAATTGCAAAATTGTAGAAGAGAAAACATATGATTGTCAAATGTAATTGAGACACCGTTAGTCCAATACCTGTGGAAAAAATTCACCAAATTGATAGCTACTTTAATCAAATTTGGAAAGAAATACGTTGAGTCAAATCCCAACTTTTCTCATCACAAGGACGGAATTGATAATAGTGTCTCGAGTCATATGAACATTGTACATATTTTTATGATATACATAGTATTTGCACACCAGAATAGTGTCAAATTGCCACATTTCGATTCAGTTGATATTTCACACACAAAAGAATTTGTATATAGTTCATAAATTTACTAATTGAGTTTTGCTTCATGCGAATTCTTAATATGTATTTGGCTGAAGGTTGACATCAATTTTTACAATTTTCAATGAATTTTGTTCATTTTTTTTCTTTTTTTTTTAACCGTATTCAAGGCTATTTATGTAAGCCAAATATAAAATTTGATAGTGTATATGTTTGCAACTTTGCATGATAGTCCGTCTATAACTCCCTCTGAATATTTTAGTAAGAAATTCCATTGATTAGGGTGCAAAGGTTTCAGAGTTTTGCAAGAAAATTTATTAGAAACAAACCTAATGACAGTCAAATATCACTAAACAACTACACTAATTGCTCTTCTTTGGCATCCCAATTTCTATTTGCATGACGACAGATAATTGTGATTAAAAGTGTAGGCTATATCCCAAGAAACACTTTGAATTTTTTTTCCCTTTCACAATGTGTTGTTTTTTCAGTAGTTCAAAGATAAAAGTTAATGTTAACTTGAAGGGATGATGCAAAATTGCTTGACTTATTCATAAGTTTTTAAGTTAATCAAAGTCGAACTTACACAAAATTTCGGGCTAGGCTAACTTCTTAAGCAGCTTGTGGGATTTTCGGCCGATCATTTAATCATTCTAATTTCCATAAATCATTTTTCTATCCATTTTTTCCTTAATATATTCTACATGTATAATTTAAATAAGTGTATTTTTTTCTTCCTTGCAAACAAGTCTAATTTTCTTAAAAGATGTATTAAAAAAATCATGTAATGCCATTTGCAATTATGCATCACATGTCGATCCTGCGTCTATGTCTTTCCAATAGTTAACGTTCTTAGTTTATCATTCAAAGTATTAATGGTAAACTTTTAACACATTATCATAGTCAATTGATAGCTATTTCACAATACCGTTAACAAAAATGTAGGTTATATCCCAGGAAACATTTGGTATTTTTCCCTTTCACAACGTGTTGTTATTGTAGTAGTTCAAAGATAAAAGTTAGTGTTGACTTTAAGCGCTAATGCAAAATTTTATTCACATATTCATAAGCTTTTTTGTTAATCAAGTCAAATTTAGACGAAATTTTGGAGTTTATTTCTGAAGTAACCTTCTTTGGATTAAAATATATCCAACGTGATGCTCTTTTGTAAATTATTACCTTTTTAATCTTTTGATACCATGTAAGCTCGCATTTCTAATGCAGGGAGCTCTTCTCATTGCTGTAATCCTATTCAGTGTTTTTCTACCTCCTAGTTATCCATTTCCATATTCATATTCAAAATTCAAGCACAAAAAACCAAATCCAAGGAAGGAAAAAAAAAACCAAGGCAATAAACATAAGGCTGCACGTTTGATTAATGATAAAATATTATGAGCAAGAAGTATTTTATATTTTAAGCTCTTCAATTATCCAAGGTTCTTTATTTTGTTCATGAACTCATAAACTTAGCTTATAGATATATTGTCATGAACTCATAAAAAATATAAAAGAAATACTATTATCATTTTATAATATTTTAGCATAATCAAATCATGAGTCTTTTCCTATGTTTATTCCATTGGTTTTTTTTTTTTCATCCTCGGATTTTGCACTTGGTGTTTTTATTTTGAGTGCCAGTGTGGATTAATCTTTTTATACACTGACAGTATAGTAATTTTTTTAATTAACAGTCTTTGATGTATACATATGTGCATGATTTAAATTTTAAATTCAAATTCATGTTACGTGGTATGATCTAAACTTGTATAAAAAGAACTTTACACTGACAATGTGTATAAAAAAGTTATCCATATAAAAATAGAGAGGTAGAAAAGATAAGCAGCATTACAACAACAGCTAGTTTCAAAAACCTCTTCCAAGATTTCTTTAATTTCAACTTAAACCCCTGTACTTTCAAATATAACACTTATCTCGCTTTTAAGGACTCAAAATGACTCCAATAACTTTCCCAAACTTTGCAAAAATTCTGGCAACAACTTTTTAGAGAAGGAAAAAAGTAAAAAAAAAATTCAGTATCTCTCATCACTAAATAATCTTGTCACCCCTATCGCTATCTGTAGCTTTAATCCATTTTTTTTTCCTATCTAGGTTTTCATATCCTTTCCATAATTCCAATCTCCATGTCTCACAAATTCCAGTTTTCATCACGCTTTTTAATCGACCCATCTTTTATTCTTCCAATTTATTCTCATTTTTTTCTCTAACCAAATTTTAATAAACAATTACAAAGCCAAATATTACGTTTATAAATTGGGTCAAAATAATATGGAGGAAATGATCATTTAGGCCTTCGGCAAGGCTGTTTGAGACTAGGAGAAAAAAGAATATATTAATTGACTAATCAGATTTAATACATAAAAACTTCTTAAGGGCAATTTTTTATATTAATATGTTTTTTTTTTTCCTTTCGTCAGCAGAATGAAACCCAAACCTACCATTTAGGGGATGTATGCATAATTTTTTAACTGTAAAAAGAGCTAAAAGTAATTGTTATAAATCTTTGGGGATGTTTTTGAAATTATCTTTTACACAATGAAGAGCTTCATTGATGCGAGGTTTCATAACATTTAAGATGGGAGCTTACATCGCATAAAAAAAATATTTAAAAGGTAATAATTTCTGAAAGAGCATCAAACTAGGAACATTTTATCTATTGGGATTAATTAGCTTCTTAAGCAGCTTGCTGATTTTTGGCGGATCATTTAATCATCCTAATTGCCATAAATTATTTTTCCATTTATTTTTCCTTAAATAATCTATAGTTACAATTTAAGTAATAGTATTTTCTTATTCCCTGTAAACAAGTCTAATTCTCTTAAAAAATGAAATACATATTTTAAAAAAACCACGTATTGCCATTTGGCATTATGCACAATGGTACCTCTATTTTATATTGCTATCAATATATTAACTTCTACTTAACTTTTGGTTTATCATTCAAAATATTAATGGTAAACCTTTAACACTTTATATCGTAGTCAAAGTTCTTTTTTTTCCATACAAGTGTAATTTTCTAAAAGATGTACATAATGCTGCTAATAATGTCTGGTTGGCAATTTTGAATCTGTTTAAATACTTCTTTGTAGGCTTCAAAAAGAAAGGTTTGCCCAAAAGGATGGCAGCATGGCTGAGATCTTACAATATACCTACATGGTAAGCATTGATGATTTCAAATTCCAAACGTATATGGATATCAGAACTTGCTATATTGCATAAGTTAAAATTAAATTTGACTTTTTTTTATATAAATTATGCACCATCTGGCTATACATCTATGTCAAACAAACTCCAAAATTATATGTTTTTATGCATTTTACTGGGTTGAATACATTCAGGTGACAGCTTACATTGCTAACATTGATGTAGAGAATATGTTTTCTGAATTATGCAACAACTGTGGACATTTAATTCAATATTTCTATGAAAAAATTCTATGCCTCAATGGTAATGATATTGTCAAACAGTTATTAGGTAATCTCTCTCTCTCTCTCTCTCTCTCTCTATATATATATATATATATATATATATATGTATATCCTTAATTAATTTTTTTTAAGAAGAATTTTAATTTTTAGGTGTCATGTTAGCATGGAAATTAGAGATTCTAGTGACAAATTGCATATCAATCCTCAAGCTAGGTATGCAGAATATATATTTGGTCGCTCTGCTGTGTATTTAAAAGATTTGCAAAAAAAAAAAAAGGTACAAATTTCTTGCACTTATCATGTGATACATCCTATCTTAAATGATTAACAGCAGAGAATGACCTCCCTATTAAATGGATTAAAAAGTGTTATTGATAAGGTTAGCAACTTGAAATGATGATTTTTTTTTTTAGAGTGAATGTATGACTATTGGCACAAAAAAAATATGCATAGTGAAAGTAATTTTAACACATATAAAAATATGTGAAAAAAGAGGAGAATAAATACAAACAAATATGCATTAATTTTATTATGATTAATCTTCTATACATTGACGGTGCATGCACTTTTGCCATTAGATGCATGATACATAATTCGAATTTAAATTTAAAACT